CTCCCCCCTCCCCCCAAAACTCCTGTCCTCCCCTGGCATTGCCAACCTCCTCTTCCTGTGCTTTTCTTCCCCTCTCATTTATTATGTTTATCATCTTTCTTCTTCAATAGAATGAGAGCTCTGTCAGGGCAGGGATTTTTGTTTGTTATGTTTAACAGCATACCCTGAGGGTTTTGAACAATTTGACATAGAGTAGAGACTCAATAACATTTGTTGAATGAATGAATGAATTATCCAGAGTAGGAATAGGCATGGAGGCAAGTAGATGATGAGTTCCATATAGAACTTGCTGTGTTTCAGTAAAGCAGAGAGCTTGAGGTGTTTGGGAAGCAGTTGAATACTCTCTAGCATCACTTAATACTCCCATTGATCTGAGCCCTCTGAGGGCAAGGACTATGTAGCAGTTATTTTTATGTCCTCATCTCCAATCACAGCACTTGGACAGAAGGGAAACTCGATAAATGGTTTAATTAAATTCCATATGAAGTCAGGGGCTGAATTTTTCCTGTTTACTGCTATATCCTTAGTGCCTAGCACAGTCGAATGAGTAACTATCCCCCAAAGGAGCACTCGCTGTGGGGAGTGAGAAGAGTACCCTCTATCCTGACCGTGTGCAGGAAGAGTAGCATTTAGGGGTGCCTGGCTGGCTCATTCTGTAGAGCATGGAACTCTTGACCTTGGGGTTGTAAGTTTGGTTGTACAATGTTGGTTGTAGAGATTACTTAAAATCCTAGAAGAAGAAGGAGAAGAGGGAGAAGAAGGAGGAGAAAAAGAAGAAGAAAGCAGCTTTTGAAAAAGAGAAAAGAAAGAGTAGTGTTCATTAAGAAGGTCATAAGGGAAGGAATGACCCCTTGGGGGAGCCAGGGTTCAATTAGTACAGGAAACTGTGGGAAACTAAGCAGCCCAGTGGTTAAGGGAGGTGACTTGAGTCAGGTAGATTCAGTTTTAAATCCTATATTCTTTCCTTAACTATCTTGGAAAAAGTTATGGCTCCTCTTTGTTTCAGAAGAAATGGTTTGGGGAAAAAGAGTACTTGGGAAAATCTAGTCACTTTGTCAGAAAGGAAACAAAGTTTTACATGACTTGACTTAGTGAGTTCATTCTGGATCTATCTAAATGTTCTTCAGTCATTTGCTTAATCATGTATTCTAGAAAGTTGAGAGGGAAGAGATAGAAGAGGGCCATTTTATCTCTTAGGCATTATAGGCATAGGAACTGGGACATCAAAGCTTATAAAGGGCTTTCAAATATACTTAATGCTTAAGTATATTATTGGCTCCAAGTTATGAAAATAAAACTGTAAAATAAAAGTTGATAAATACTTTATTGAATGTGCCCAAACAGCATTATGCTAACCAGTCCCCTGCAACTAGATACAACTATATAAATGGCATTTAGTTTGGGAAGCAGGTGCATTGTGCTGAAGTAAGAGAACTTAGTAGGATTTTAAGGTGGCTCCGGAGGTACTTGAGTGGTTCTTTTGGTTGCAGTTTTCCTCTTTATTTGCCTGAGTCGAGTCTTCTATTCACCCCCTGCTTTTCCCCATTCTCAGTTACTCCCAACAGCACCCACTGATTTTTCTCTGCATGTTATTTCAGTACCTAGAGATACACATATTTTATCATCTCTAAGATGTACTTTTTTTTTTTTTACATTTTAACATCTCTGAAATTATGATGCATCTTACAAATTGGTGGAGTATCACATTGGTAGCATTTTAATGTTTCATTTTTTTTTTTAACACTGCAGCTTACAACTGATGGCATCTTAGGTTTGATGCAATGTAAGGTATCTGGATCTGGAGATATGATCTTCTTAGACCTGGCTGGGTGCCTTTTTCTTTCTTCCCTTCCATCTTTGGCTTCCATTTATTATTAATATTTATTTCCTTGGGGCACTTGGATGACTCCATTGGTTAAGGGTCCGGCTCTTGATTTTGGCTCAGGTCATGATCTCACGGTTTAGTTCGTGGGATGGAACCCTGTGTGGGGCTCTGCACTGACAGCAGGGAGCCTGCTTGGGATTCTCTCTCTCTCTCTCTCTCTCTCTGTCCCTCCCCCACTTGCTCTCTCTCTCAAAATAAACAAATAAACTTTTAAAACATTAATAATATTTGTTTCCTTTTTTGAGTTTGAAGATCATTCTTTTCTCTTTCCCTACTTCCCACTTTCTTCTGCCTTCATTCCTGCTGCCATGTTTCGCCTCTCCATCCTTCTTTTGTCCCTTCCTGACGTCTGCAGGAGTTCCCAGGGCTCCTGCTGACCAGAGCTCTTTTCTAAAGGCCCTACAGCCTGGTGGTGGTGCCACCCAAGAAGGTGAACCCTGAGTACTACATCTTCTCTCCCTTTGGGATCCTGCATGTCCATCCTGTGGAGGGCAGTGAGACGATCCCGCTGGGCACCTGGCACCGCCATTCTGTCCTCTGGCAGCAGCTCCAGTCCATCCCGTTCTTCAAATATTGCCTCTTATACAAGGCCTTGGCTTGGTAGGTGGTGACAGTATGGGATGTGGGGAGAAGTGTTGTGGGGAGCAGTAGCATGCTGTCGCTGCCCTCTGGTCTGTAGTTGGAAGAGGAGTGTGAAGTTGCACAGGCTGCACCGGCACCGGACTTTCCTAGGGAAGCATCTGCTCTTTGCTGTGCCCCACTTTGGAGCTGGGCTTCTGCATATTAGCAGGTAAGGTCTTCAAAATACAATGTCAATGGACCTTTTGAATTATTGTTAACAAAAAAACAATAACATGTTCCTTGTAGAAGGTTTGGAAGACATGAAAAAGCACAAAGAGAAAAAAATCTTTAATCTTACCAACCGTAAATAACCACGACAAACATTTTGCACATTTCCCTTCTGGTCTTATTTTCTATCACATATACGTATGTGGTCATACTTGACATACTGTTAAGTAAGCAGTTTTTTTATGAATAATGTATCTTGAGCATATTTTCATGTAATTAGGTATTCCTACATCACCTTGCCCCAGACCACATAATTATTGAGTATTGGATCCAGGGATGTAACTCAGGTGCCTGAATTCAAATTCTCTGCTCTTCCCATGGTACCTTTTGGGTTCTTTTTTTTTGAAGAAAAGCTTAGTTATTCCTGTTTTCAGTACTTTCTTACTTATCTTGCACTCCTCAGCCACTCTAATTCTCTTCAGTGATAGAAGTTGCAAACTCAGATGCCCACAGGGCCTGAGCCGGAGCTATGGAAGAAACGTAGTGGATTAGGTGCAAGACATGAGGGAGCAGGGGAATACAGTCTGGAGACTGCATCTAAATAGGACAGTCACTACTGAGTTCCAGTTGTCTGTTGCCTCTGGGAATATGGGTACAGCATGCCAGCTGCCTTGTTTTTCAGGATTTCCTGGAAATCCACATTTTGTTGTAAAATGTCTTAATTTTACCTACTTAACTCAAATTTTTATTAAAACAGTGTGCTGGCCAACTCTTACTGGAACATGTGAAAATATTTTCAGTCTGAATTTGACCCACGGGTTACTAGTTTGAAACCTTTGCTCTGGGAATCCTCCAGTCTAGCCTAATCATCATAGTGTAATTAAAAGCATAAGGGCTTGGAGACTGGACAGATCTGAATTTAAATCCTGAACCCTAGCAAGGACTTTACTCTTTGAGCCTCGTTTCCTGATATAAAAACTAGGGATAAACGTTCCTACCACGCAGCTATAGTGAGAATTAAGTGAGATTGTAAATATAAAGTACCATGTTCAATGCCTTTTAATAGGTGCTGAATAAATGATACCCATTATGATCACCTTTTGCTTATTGGGGATCTTTCGTCTTTTTCAAGGATTTTTAGAGATGTAGAATTCTCATGGAGAGAGTAGATAACAGAAGCAGGTTTTCTCAGGGATGGTCAGCCCATAGAGAAGTTAGAGGTTCCTCACCTTTGATCCTAAAACTGATCTGCCCATCTAGATTTTTTGGGCCCTTAGGCCTTTCAAGGAGACACTCTCCTGGCAGAAAGGTCAGTCAGTAGAAACATTTGCACATAACTCCAGGCCTTTCCCAAAGCATTCCCCGGCCAGCAACTTCCTCAGCTTGAATTCTTCCAAAGAATTCTCAAGAGGAATCTGTCTCTGTAGGTCACCAGGAATATTAGAATCTTTCTAAATCTTTGCTTATTCTGCGGTGTGCTGGGCTGGGAAGAGGTCAGAAGTGTTCAAGGAAAGAAGGCTGAGATGCCGGCTCTGACAAGCTTAGCCATTGATTGCAGGCTTCTGCAGGAGCTGCGCTCTGTATCCTGGCTCCCCCGAGACCCCGATCAATGCTATGGGCTGCTGGACCTGCAACGGGCTCTAGCCAAGGAGAACCACAAGGCTCTGCAGCTGCTCCATCGCTGCCTGCACCTCTGCACATCCATCCTGCACCTGGTAAGAGGCTGCAGTGCAATTTATTGTGAACCTTTTCCCCAAGCTGAGCTTGCCAGAGGCCCAGTCTCCTCTTGGCTCACGCTTCTCCTGGGATCCCCTGTGTGGTCTGGACTCTGAAGTTGGCCCAGAGCCATTGTCCTGCCCGGCACCAGCAGTCTCTGTTGTGGGGTGGATGGATCAATTACAGATGGGCAGAGGCTTGGACCCAACCTTTTCCCTAAGGGTTGGTCCTGGCCTTGAGCAGGGAGGAGAAGGAACATAGCAATGGTTTTTCTTTAGCTGTTTGTGCCAGGGGCATTAGGGAATTTGAAAGTTGGAGTCTGGATCTTTTATGCTACTAGGCTTATCTTTGAACCTATTTTGAATCTTCGGTAGGCCACTGTGGCTGGTAGAAGCATCCGGTGATGGAGTCCTTCCTAATTATGCCTACTTTGCATCCGTGGTACCTGCCCTCTGCCTAGGGCTCCTGGAGGCCCTGCTACATGTTCCTGTCACTATAGTTTGCTGTCTGTTGGGTGGGGCTGGGTATTTACCCAGTTCTCTGGCTGATCGCCGTCTCTAGGTAAACTAGATGTGAGAGAGATCTAGTACATGAGAAATAATGTACGAGAAGCCCTAGGTAGATTCATACAGGGAAATGGCCTTCAGCCTCCAGACAATAACAGCTGGACCTGACACTGCACTAAGCTGAATGGGGCCAAAGGTGGGGGCAAGCTATTCCATGGCCTTTCTGTACCTCCCAGTTCCTAAATCCCACTCTTGTTTTAATGTTACAAAAATATTAAAATTTTTTAATAGTAGTTTACTTTGGGGGTGCCTGGGTAGCTCAGTTGGTTAAGCATCCAACTCTTGATTTTAGCTCAGGTCATGAGCCCATGGTTGTGGGCGTGCTGGGCATGGAGCCTGCTTAAGATTCTGTCTCTGCCCTTCCCCTGCTCTCTCTCTCTCTCTCTCTCTAAAAATAAAAAATAAATAAATAAAAATAGAGGTTTATTTTGTCAATTAAGGTAAATTTTGCATGCAGTAAACAAATTGTAAGTGTGCAGTTTGTTGAAATATTTACATGTATATACATCCATGTAACCACCACCCAGATCAAGATGTAGAACATTTCCAGCACCTCAGCAAGCTCCCTGGTACCTCTCCTTTCAATACCCCCACAAAGGTAACTACTACTCTGATCTCTGTCACCATAGATTACTTTAGTCTGATTTTGAATTTCATATAAATGGAATCAACATTTTTTTTTCACTCAACATTATGTTAGCAAAGTTTATCCATAATCTTCTAGGAAGCAGTGGTTCACTCTTTTGTATGCTATGTAGTATTTCCTGTATGAATATACCACAATTTATTCTCCTATCGATAGACATTTGAGTTTGTTTCAGCTTTTGCTGTTATGAATAATGCTGATGAGAACATCTTTTTAAAAAAAAATTTTTTTTAACATTTATTTATTTTTGAGACAGAGAGAGAGTATGAACAGGGGAGGGTCAGAGAAAGAGGGAGACACAGAATCTGAAACAGGCTCCAGGCTCTGAGCTGTCAGCACAGAGCCCGACGCAGGGCTTGAACCCACGGACCGTGAGATCATGACCTGAGCTGAAGTCAGACGCTTAACTGACTGAGCCACCCAGGCGCCCCTGATGAGAACATTCTTGTGCATGTCCCTTGGTGGACATAAGCACTCATTTGTTTGGAGTATATGTTCTAGGAGTGAAACTGCTGGAATAAGGTACATGTCTGTTTTACAGTACCAAACAGTTTTCTGGAGTGGTTGTACCAGTTTGTATTCCCCCAACAGTGTAGGAGACTTCCAGTTGTCCTATGTTCTCATCAACCTTTACTATTGTCAGGGTTTTTAATTTTAGCCAAACTGGTATATAGTGGTATCTCATTGTAGTTTTGTTTGTTTGTTTGTTTGTTTGTTTGTTTGTTTTAGAGAGAGAGCACATGCAAGCAGGGGAGGGGCAGAAGGAGAAGGAGAGAGAGAAAATATCAAACAGGCTCCACACTCAGTGCAGAGCCAGATGTGGGACTTGATCTCACAACCATGAGATCATGACCTGAGCCGAAATCAGGAGTCAGACACT